AAAAGTCAACTGACTAAATTTTAATGACCTTAATAGGCTTTATTCAATGACTTATGAATCAGGTAGCATCTTATGCTTTTGTTATGTGGATAAACATGAAAAGTATATTAAAAACAAGGGTTAAAATCTGGGTTGAGGCAAACTAAGTGCAGCATCCAGGTTTGTTTTTTTGGTGTTTTTTAAAATACATCTTTATTGATTTCAGAGAGGAAGGGAGAGAGAGAAACAGCAATGATGAGAGAGTCGTCATTATCGGCTGCCTCCCGCACACCCCAGCCCGCACCCCGAGCGTGTGCCCTGATGGGGAATCGAACCTCGATCTCCTGGATCCTAGGTCGATGCTCAGTCACAGCCACACCCGGCCAGGCTGCACCGTCCAATTCTGATCCTTCTCAAATCCCCAGTAAAAGTACAGAGGCTGCAGTATGTTCCAGGAGGTGGAGTTAAGGGAAGAATCACAATTGACTGCCAAGCCCATGATGCCAAACCCGAAGCCCAGGAAACAGCTGAATTTACCCGTAGAACCTTCCAGAGGCTCTGGCCACACCAGGTCTCAATAGGCCAGGCTGAAGATGGGGGTGAGACACACAGGCTGCTGGCTAGGACAGTTTGGAAAGTTCTCAGGTGCTTGTTTTCCTCCCATGATGCCACTGCACAGCCAGGAGGAAGCCAGACTTGATAGGCAATGTGGTGGCAAGCAGGATTAGGTGACTACACATAATGAATGCTAAATGAAGAGAGCCACCATCCCTCACCTGCAGATTCCAGAACCTTCCATGCATGAGACTGAACACCTCTTGAGAATCTAGCTGGTCCGAGCAGAAAGTCCTAATGACACTGGCACCACAGAGTTCCCATCAGCCTCCAGCTTAGGCGTGAGTCCATGTGTTCCCCACACTCCTTTGGTCTTCCAACCTCCCTATCTCAGTCCTTATTCTTCATTGTGAGCAGACAACCAGGATTGTCCAGGGATCTGAGGAAGTGTCCCGTGTGGAAAACAGACCCAAACAAAAAAGAGACAACTTCAGGAAATTGACTCTACAGGGAGAAGAGAACTTACAAAATAAAAAACAGTCCATGCCCTGGCTGGTGTGGTTCAGTTGCTTGAGCGTCATCCTATGCACCGAAAGGTCACCGGTTCAGCTCCCAGTCCTGGCACATGCCTCGGTTGTGGGCTGGATCCCCAGTAGGGGGTGTGCAGGAGGCAGTTCTGTGACGTTTCTCTCTTACATGTATGTTTCTCTATCACTCCCTTTCCATTCCTCTCTAAAAAAAAAAAAAATTTAATAAAAATAAAAAACCCCACAACAGTCCAGAATGTTCTGAGAGAAAAGACATTGTATTCATGAAACAAGAACAATGCTACTAAAAAGGAACATCTGATGTACCTTTTTTGTTCTCTTTTTGAGTTCTTGGAGATCAAAAGCAAATGGAAGATTGCCCTGCCGGTTTGGTGCAGTGGTTAGAGCGTCGGCCCACAGACTGAAGGGTTCTGGGTTTGATTCCGGCCAAGGGCACGTACCTCAGTTGCAGGCTCAATCTCCTGCCCCAGTTGAAGCACGTGGGGGAGGCAACCAATTGATGTCTCTCTCACATCAGTGTTTCTCTCTCCCTCCCTTCCACTATCTCTGAAAAGCAATGGAAAAAGTATCCTCGGACGAGGATTTGAAAAAAAAAAAAAAAGCAATTGGAAGATAAAGTTGGGGAAATCTTACAGAAGGAACAAAAAAATAAAAGATACACGAAACCAGAACTGACAAAGGAAATTAGAAGATTGGCTCAGAAGAATGATTTTCAAACAATCAGAGGGCGAACACTCTATGGAGCAAAGTAAAGGGACCAGAAGTTTCCAGGTGCCTGACGCTGGCCCTCAGTGTTGGGGTGCCTCATCCCACGGCACATCTCTGGGAAGTTCCAGAACAAAAACCAGCCCCCAGTGAGGACAACACAGGCCACCCCTAGTGGCCCAGGAATCAAAAGTTGATGGAACATCGTCTCCCAGTTCTGCAGGACCTGCACTGTCCCCTGGCACCTCAGGAGTCACCAGGGACTCCCCTTCATCTGGCACCTGGTGGTCCCTGAACCCACTGGGCACAGTGCTTCCTGCAGTGGTGCCTCAAGCTGCATGGCCCCTTGCTTGCCTAACCACAGCTGTGTGTGCTCTGCTATGGAGCTCAATACGTGGTTTAGGGACACTTAGGAAGGTGGAAATGCCATAAACAAAAGCAAACAGTGACTGACACAAACATCAGGCACAGTGGGGTGCTGCACTCATGGGGCATCCAAGGCAGGAAGAACCAGTGACAGTTACAGCCTTCACTGCCGTCCACCAAACCACAAAGGCATCTTCGTGCACATTTCACACACACACAAAGCAAGTAAGAATGAGAAAAAATAAGGCGGGGCCACAGTGACAGGAAAATAGGGAAGATGGAAGGTGGTGGGAAAGATCCTGTGTCCTTAAGGGGGAGGATACGTATTTCAGTTTTTGTTGACACGTCACTGGTAACTGACACATCGGTGCTGCTCATAGGAGGGGATTATTCTGCCCCAAAGTGACACTAGTCAATGTCTGGAGACATTTTTATTGTCACAACCGGAGTGGGGGAAAGGCTAACGTCATCTGGTAGGTGGAGGCCAGGGATGCTGCTCAGCACCCCACAGCACCCAGGATGGTCACCAACAGGGTTACCTGGCCCCAGACAGTAGCGTTGAGGCTGAGAAACTTTACATCACAAGAACGGGACTATAATTTTCAAACCACCTGAAGAAAAGGAGGAGAAATAACCCCACCCCCAAACAAATCAAACTTTTAGCTCGAGAGGTCAGCCAAGGAGAAAACCGGTGCAGAGAAAAGATACCGCAACTGAAGCAGGACCTGAGGTTCGCCCGTGGACATCTGAAACAACCTCACTGTCAATCCTCCAGCTTTCACCTGCCCTCGCTGTCCCCTCCCCACCAGGCACTGTCCGGTCACCACCAGCCTCCCAGGCTGCCCCTACAGCTCCCCTCACCCCCTGCAGGCTCTTGCCTCCCCTCTCCCCTCTCCACCCTTACTTGTGGAGCCCTACATGTTTGTCAGCAAATCCGTTTTATTTCTATGGCCCTCAGCATCTTGGGCAGCTCGGCCAGCATGTCCAGTGCTCTTGGCCTTCCCCTACACCTCAGCTCCATCTTTTCTGTTACCCCTCTCTTTCTCCTCATACCCAGCCTATCGGGAAACCTGTCTGGAATGTCTTCAAAACCACCCTGACCCAGGCATTCCCTACCCCTGCCACCACCCTGCTTGGCGATAGCTGCTTGTTCCCTTGCACACGGCTCTGCCCTGTAGCCAGAAGCAGGCTTTGTGAGAGACTCCACTTCTTAATTAAGGAGCCACCTCAATTACGGAGCATGAAGGCTTTGAAGGGCACCTAGTTCCTGAGAGAAAAACCCAGACTTCTTGCCATGCAGACGGCTAGAACAGAGCTGGGAAAAGCGAGACGGGCCACGACTTAGAGGAGGACAGTTTGCCAGCGACTGCATTCTGGTTGCTATAACAAAATGCCATAACCTGGGTGGCTGGCAACCAAAGGAAATTAATGTCTCGTTCTGGAGGCTGGAAGTCCAAGATCAGGGCACTGGCATGACCAGGAGCGGTCCCACTTCTAGGCAGTGGGTGCCACTTCACATATAGTGGAAGATGGAGAGGGAAGCCAGCTTTTTGGTGTGACACTTATAAGGGCACCAATTCCATCATGGGGGCCCCACCCTCATGACCTCATCTGACCCTAAGCACCTCCCCAAGCCCCACCTCCTAACATCACTACACTGGCTTTAGGTTTCAACATAGGGATTTTGGGAGCTGGGGGAGACATAAGTCCATGACAGCCTGGAAGAGAAAATAGTCAGGACCTGGGCCACCCAAAATGCCATAAAAAATAAGCTGAGAAGGCAGAAGAATCACAACCAAGGCAAAGACAGTAAGATCTTGAGGCAACATTAGCATTATCAGAAGTTATCTGGAGGCGACAATTTCCTAGGAAGACACAAATTAGGGACTTGAGTCTGGATCTGGTCTCCCTGATTGAGGACAAGTGCCCTGGCTAGGCCCTGGGGTGCTCTTGGTTCCACCGCTCACCCAGAGTCCTCTGGAAGCTCAGCCTACAGACCCTGCACCCATCCCCTTGCTCAGACCTCAGCCTGGCTCCCTGCCTGAGCTTCGCCCCCTCCATCTTCCTCATCTGCTCAAACACTCTCCATGGCTCTCCAGTGCCAGTCTCAGAGCTGCTGCCTGACACCCACCCTGCAGAGAATTTCCAGGCCTCAGGGCTTTTCCCAATACCTCAGGTCGGGTCTTTCGCTCCCTCAGCTGCCCTCCAGAATTCCCACCTGACTCCCCTGGGCCCCACAGCATATTTTTTAGATGTTTCTCATCAAGAGCCAAAGCAGCATCACCCATCATGTTGCCTGTCCCTAGTAGCATCCCCCAGGGTAGACCCAAGTCTGGGAACCTTGACTCACACCTCATTGGAGGTGTTCAAGGCCTGTTGCACACTGGGGCTTGGCGGAGTTGCGTGAAGAAGCTGCAGCCACTTCTCTCCAGAGTGTCTGTGTCACATCCATTGCTGCCTTGCTGGGGAACAAAAACACAAAACACAAGATTCCTGCTTAGGTCACTTGAGAACATTACACCTTTCTACCAGGCCGGCTGTCTTGGGCTACAGTGTACAGCATGATTAAAAGGAGGGAAATAAGTGGCCAGCAATCATGAAGAGATGCCGGGCCTTGCAAGGGATCACAGTAAGATATGACTAAAACAGCAAGGAGGTACCACATGACACCCCCAAATGGGGAGTCAGATGCCACCAGCCAGGGTGTGGCCTGAATACTGCACAATGTTTGTGGGTACCTAAGTTCACACAACTGCACTGGGGAGCACTTTGGTACCTGGAAGAGATGACTCCACAGCTGAGTGGTCCCTCAGGGACACATCCTGGAGATTCTCACCTGTGGGTGCAGGAGCCAGGGTCACAGTCACAGCATTATTTTTCACCACAAAAAGCTGACCCCGAAGTGAGTAAATAAATGAGGTTAAGTAGTAAGTATGTAAATACCATGTCACTCACCACTTACACGCAAGGTACCCACTTCCTGCCTCTGGTTGGTTGCCCTGAATGCCATGGCCACTGAGACAGACCTCTGGTGGCCTCACACTCCTGCACTTGAAGATGGCAACACTTAAACCCAAGGCCTTATCCAGGTGTGGACAGGGGCCCCTAGCACATGCCAGACAGGGTGCAGGAGACAAAAACCTCAGGACTTTGGGGCCGCACTTGCTGAGCAGGACACAGCCCATCCTGACTGATGTCCCCAAGGGCACAAGTGTCTACGACCAGGATCTCTGGAAGGACACACAATGAACTGGTAACAGGGTGCCCCTGCAGAAAGAGCTGGGAGACCCACCAAACTTGATAAACCCTTTCATGCAGTTTGCATTTTCTAGAAAATCAAAGTATGAATTAACAATGAAAACAATTACATTTTAAAAAGTTTTATTCATGACTTTATTTTAAAATCTGTTGAAATAACCGCAAACCTGTTTTTGGTTCCTGGTGGGGGGAAGGGGGTCAGAGCCTAAGAAAAGAGACATGGGCAGGAGGAAAAGTTATTTTAGTTTTTATTAAATATACTCTCTTGGCACAAATCTTTAAAATATATAAACATTATATATAAACAAAGTCTCTTCATGGCATCAAAATAGCTCCAGGCCAGGCCAGGCAGCCAGTGGGGAGGGGTGTGACTGCGGAGGGTGCCAGCCTGGCTGTGTGGGGCTGGGGAGTGGGTATGGTGCTGCCGAGGCCCACGGTGCTGGGAGCCATGTTGGGGGGCACACGGGCCAGCAGGACCTAGAGGACCCTCCTGCTCCTGCCCAGCCTGCAGCTCAAAGGAGGGTGCAGCCCAACCAGCCACCTGGTCTCACCCACCTGGGGTGGGCTCCCAGTTCCTGATGCTCTCTCTTGCCTTTGGGCCTCCATCTCATCTCCCTGTAAGGGGTGCCCCTGCCTCTCCTGAGCACTAGGCAAGGCTGGGAGAAGAGGTGAAACACCCAATAGGACAGCAATCACAGGCTGCTTGAGCCCTGGGGACAAGAGTCTGGGAATGATACTAGGGCTGGCCAGTGGACACATGCAAGGAAGGACACCCCACAGGTCCAAGGCAAGGACAGACAAGGGCAGAACAAAGGTAAGAAATGAGTCATGGCTGGAAATGAACTGGAGCAAGCACACAGGTCATTTCCCATATCAAGGTGCTGAGCGGACCTTGCCCTGGAGCCGGATCGGGCTGGTTAGGGTGTACTGCGACTAGACCAGGGCTGGCCAAATTTTAAAACCAAAAAGGTCAAGAAACTCCAAATGTCACTAGGAAATGGGTGTTTTTGAGTCCTTGTGATACCCAGGGGGCCTGGGAACTTCTGAGACCAGCTCCCTGGGGGGCCCTGTGGTACCTCCACTCTTCTGAACTTCCCACCCCAGGCCATACACTGTCACGGGCTTCCACTTGGGGAAGATCAAGGCTGCCACCCACCTCCACGCATCCCATTCATGGAAATCAGACAATCCCACAGGCCTTAAATTGCCCCATGTCCATGCCAAGTGCCCACTCAGGTGGGGAGCCAAGGATGTGCCAGATGCTACGGGTCCCCCCAGAAGCCTCTGTGCCTACAGAGAGTCAGGGCCCAAGGCTCGGCCTCTGTGGGTGCAGCTGTGGGGTGGGCAACAGAGGGTAAGACTGGCTCCAGGGCCTCACCCTGGAGTGAAGTCAGGATCAGGATCACTTGGAGAAGGCTGTTCACCAACAGAAGACTCTGGGGGCTGAGGAGTCATGTCACCTGGGAAGTAAAGGCAGGACAGGGGTGTGGCAGGGCAGGCAAGAGGCAGCAATTTGTAGCCGCAACTGAGCAGGAGACTGGTCCCTTGTGAACAGCCGAGGCTGGGCCTCTCCCACACTCCCCAGCTCCTCCACCCTGAGCAGTGAGCATACACAGGGCCCAACAAGGGGCAGGCGGAGTCTGGCTCTGAGCCTAGTGGGGACAGGGTCACTAGAAGCAGGAGCGTGTCCAAAAACACAGAGCACCAGGAGGTGGCAACAGCCACTCCTGCGTCAGAGGGGCACTTCCAGGAAGCAGAGCCAGGCCCAGGGAGGAGGGAAGAGGAGAGGCTGCGTGCTCATCGACCCCAACACTGACTTGAAGGGCTTCTGGCTTTCCTTGCAGACCCACGGGTGCTGAGCCCAGGACCCCTGGCCTGCCTGCTTGTTCCACAAGGCGGTCCCACGTGGCTCTGGGGCAGAGTGAAGCGCCCTCTCACTCCCCAGGCTCTAAAACATCAGGGGTCAGCGTCTTCCGCGCGCTGGAGCTTGGCTCCCTGTCCCGAGAGCAGCCAGGCGCGGGCCCCTAGCTCTGCAGGCGCCGCAGCAGGATCTGCATGAGGTCGAAGGTGGTGAAGCTGATGCCCACGGCGATGGGGCCCTTGAGCCAGTTCATGCTTAGACCCTTGTAGAGGCCACGCACTGCGCCCTCCTCCCGCACTATGGCACGCAGTGTGCCGGCGATGGAGGAGTGAGGGTGGCCTGTAACTCCAGCGGTCTGCATGCGTCGCCGCACCACGTCCAGCGGGTACGAGGCTGACTGCCCGATGAGGCCAGCGCAGGCCCCGAAGATCATGCGCTCCAGGGGGTAGGGCTGCCGTTGGCCGATGTACTCTGGGGAGGGCCAGGAGGGGTATGAGGGTGCTGCTGGGAGCGCCCCCGCACCCACAGGAGCACCCACACACGGCACTGTGTCGGCCCTCTGTTTCAGGACCTGAAGGGGGTCCCGTGTGCCTTCCCGCCCACGCTACTTCCTCACCTCCTGGTCATTTTTTAAAAATTGAGCAATAAAAGTTTTGTTTTGTTTTGTTTTTTGTTTTTTTAAAGAGAAAAAGCCCACAAATCATATCATATAACCATGTCCAAAGACCCAGCATGAGCTCCCACTGAATCACTCTTGTTTTCCCCCTAGTAAATATATCAATGTGTCCATGACCTGTCCCCTCCCCTCCCAAGCCTTAATGCTCTGCACAGGGGCCTGAGAGCAAACACAGAACCGTGAACACCCCAAACTGCCTCCTGGGTCCAAAGAGACCAAGGATGTGCAACGCATCAACAGAGAGGTTCTCCAAACATGTGTTGTAAATTTATAACTAGGAATTAAAAACGGGAGACACCACTGTTCACTCACCACATTGGGAAAACATTAAGTAACATTAAGTAACTTGAGCTGAACGTGGGGACAGAGCCCCAGGCATGTGGAGCACCCTAAAGAATAAAACAAAAAATGGAGTCCTGCATCCCCACAAGGAGGCACTCCTGGATGTCCACTGATTCCAGAAAATCTGCTAAGGCCTAAATGCCAAGGCCGCCTCCCTTTACCTGAGGGGGTGGAGCAAGGGGCAGACCCCAGGCTAAAATGATGAGCCACAGACCTCCAGCAGGCTGGACTCTACCCGCTGAGCCAGAGCTGCACTACCCAGAGGCGTGGAAAGTGACAACTCTACCTTTCATAACCAGGAAACAAGAAGAGGGACTGTTCCTGACACATACTAAGTAAAGGAAGAGGAAGTGGCCGGCACTTGGGGTGGGAGTGGTTATAGTGTTCTCTATATTTTTCAAGCCTCTCAAAATTACCAAAAGACAAAAGGGCACTCCTCCATCTAGGCTGCCCATAGGCTTTGTGCAGGTACCTGTGGTTGCACAAGTGGCCATCAACACTCTGGGCAACACACTGGACTTTACAAGATTGCTCTTAAAATTGGGCTATAAAGGTCATAAGTCTGAGTTCCTCAGGGGTGGCCTGACAGCATGTGTCCTCTCTTGATTTGGACCCTGGGGTCCTAGAGCCTGGCCTCCAGGTCTATGTGACCCGCGGGTGCTGGCCCACCCCCTCCTCACCTCTGTGCAGGCTCTTGAGTGTCTCATATGTGAAGAAGCTCAGCCCAGCATAGGGGATGACCCCCAGCACGGTGGGCGTGAAGCCATGGTAGAGGGTCTTCAGCCCCTCTTCCCGGGAGATGCGGATGAAGACGTGAAAGATGTTGCTGTACCTGTCAGGACAGAGGGACCAGTAGCTGGGCTGCGGACTCTGCACAGGGAGGAGCCACTGGCCTCAACTCACAAATTCTCTGCTACTTCTCAGTGGGGAGAGGGCAGGTCTGAATGCTGACAATTTCCTTCTTTGAGGAACATAACTACCTTGCAAAAGCTTTGGCATTAGAGGGGGAAATGGGTGTTCAAAGCCATATTCTGACGTCACCACTGGGATCATCTGGGTGCTCAACCCTCGCCTAGTGTTCACGTGTGTTTTTAATGCATTTGTGACCAATTCAAAATGAAGACTCAAGTTTGATGGAAGCAGAACTGACCCCCAGGCTTAGAGAACTTTTTGGAACAGCTGCAGAATGGCATGCCTGGCCCGCCCTGATGTACCAGGCAGGGTCCATGTGGTGGTTGTTGACACTACAGCTTCCTTTGTGGGCTGTACACAAAGGCTCAGACCCAAATCCAGGGGCGTGATGAGGGATTCAACCTGGGGGCCCCAGTGGACAAAGAGCCCCTTGTGCTGGTGAAGGTCGCTGTGGTAGGACTCACATTTCCTTTGGGGTCACGGCCATGCGGGCTCGGACCAGGTCCAGGGGGTAGGTAAGCGAAGCAGCTGTGGTTCCAGCGAGTGCCCCTGCGAGGAGGCGAGGCCAAGGGGGCAGGGCACTGAAAGGGGGAAGGGGTGAAGAGAGATGGTGAGACCCCAAGGACCGAAGGAGGGAGGCCCAGCCCAAGGCCCACAGCTCTCAGTGTGGGGGAACCAAGGACAGGCGGGTTGGCTTCCTGGTAGCTGAGACGGTGGATGATTCAATCAATGAATGGTAGGGACCTTCCCTTGCAGCCCTCCTGGAACCTGGGTTCTGACATGGTGAGCATGTGAAAGGAAGACAGGAGAGCAGGGGGACAGGAGAGAGTTGCGAGGGTTAGGAGGGGTGGGGGCCTCACTCTCCACGGAAGCCGTAGTAGCGGCCCAGGACTCGCTTGTACTCCTCGTGTGCGCTGAACTGGATGGCAGCGTAGGGTACCACACGCACCATGGTGGCCGAGTTCCCACGCCACAGGCTGAGGAAGCCCTCGTGGAGGTAGGTGAAGTAGAGCAGCCGGAAGGCCTCCTGGAGGGGGGGCAACATCAATACCTCCGCCTGTCCTTTCCCCTCCCGGCTCCATGAACACCTCGATTTACTTTGTCCAGCCCTGTGCCTGAGGGCCCCACCTTACCCACTACATTCTCGGCCCACCCCCAGTCCCCTGGCCCTGGGAACTGTAAAGTGAGAGGGGAAGACCAGGTTTGCAAAGCAGGCTCTGAGCCCCACACAGAGGGTGTTTTGTTGATGTTTGGTAGTCTAGCTTTTAAAAATATTCTTTTTTCTTTATTAAGTAACACCTGCTCTGTGTTTAAAAATCAATCAAATATGAAAACATGGGTTTAAAATGTCAAGTCCTCTCACCACTGACCCATAGATAGGCATTCTCCTGTCAATCAATTCCCAGGGTGGGCTTCATCCAGGCAGTGCTCACGGTGCCAGGACAAGTGGTCCCAACCCTGGCAGGGGCAGCCTCAGTCACCAGGGTTCCTGGGAACCAGCCTGGGGGGTTCCAAAAGGGAAAAGCATCTCCCCACTTCTCCCACCCCCAGGCCTCCACAGCCTCCTTCCAGCCCAGCAGGGCAGCTGGTGACAGCCCCAGAGCCAGGAGTTGGTGACCTAGTGGCTCACCTTGGCAGAAAATCTTTTTGAAGATACTGGGGGAAAAAAACAACAACACAACACAGACCATTAGATGTGAAGGACAGGAACCCCCAAGTCTGCATGACCCCCCACTACAGGAAACTGTTCTGAGCTGCAGAATAACAGCAGCCCCTGAGAATATTCCACTCTCAAAGGGCTGAGGGGGTAGTGTCCTCAGCAAGGTCACTCTCCTCCCAGGAAACTCCTCACCCCATGTACCCAGCCCCTCTGCATGCCAACTTGTCCCCAGGAAGGGGGGATGAACTGCCATCTGACCCCCAGGACAGTAAGAGTCTCCCTAGGGATCTGTGGGAGGATGTGCCTCTGGAGGGTTGACACTCAGCATCCCCACCCAACCAAACTCCTTTGAGGAAGGTGCCACAGCCGTTAGCTGTGTGGGGATCAGTCTAGGGGATCCAACTACCCCAGGACAAGGCCAGGGAGGCCTCTGTCTGAGGTCTGCCCTCTGTTCTCAATGGCCTGGTACAGGTGCCCCTAACTTGCCTCTCCTACCTTCCGTAGCTGCCTGGCTCACTCCCCTGCTCCTTGGTGAACTGTCACTAAGGGCTGGAGCCACAGTGGCCACAAGGATCCAGAAACACAGGCCGTGAGGCGTCTCGGTCTTGTAGCCTCCCCCTACTCGCTTCCTGAGCCCCTGCTTTGTTCCTGAGACACCCCTGCACTCTCGTCTACATGGACGTGTGTGCATACATACTGCCTTCAGAGTTACATGCAGCTCCCTTCAGGGCACTACGCTTCAAGTTTACCAGGTAAAAAGGCAGCTGGCATGCGGGAAGGAACATGGGGGAGTTCAGCCTCATGCCTGCTCTTCCCACAGCCTTTGGGGAGGAGGTTGGTGTTACTGTCCTCATTGTACAGAAAAGGAAACAGGCACAGAGAGGCTAGGGGACCAGCTCAAGGAACTGGGGAGGGCTTCTCTTCCCAAACAGCTGAGAGACGGGGGTCCCAGGTTATAACCATTCTCCTGCCTGGTGCCAAGCAGGCACTGGCCACTGTCTGCAAGATGAAAGGCCTCATCTTCAGGGGCCCCTGTGCCTGCTTAACCCTAAGGAGAGAGACATAGTTTCTTGAACTGTGTCCCCCAAAAAGACATGTCCATGTCCTCACCCCCAGTACCTGTGACTGATCTTAATTGGAAATGGGCCTTTGCAGATGTCATTAAATTAAACCCAGGTTAGCTCAGCTGGCGTGGCTCAGTAGTTGAGCATTGACCTAGGATCTAGGAGATCGCGGTTCGATTTCTGGACAGGCCACATGCCCGAGTTGCGGGCTCGGTCCCCAGTGGGAGGCGTGCAGGAGGCAGCCGCTCAATGACTCTCTCATCATTGATGTTTCTATCACTCTCTCCCTCTCCCTTCCTCTCTCTGAAATCAATAAAAACATAAAAAGAAAAAAAGAGGGAGAGGAGAAAGAAAGGGAAAGGAGAGATTGGGGTGATGCAGCCACAAGCCAAGGAGATACCTGGAGCCCTCAGAGCTGGAAAAGACAGGAAGGCTCTTCTCCTAGAGCCTCCAGAAGGAACCAATCCTGCTAGCACCTTGAGTTGAGACTTCTGGCCTCTGGAAATGTGAGGGAGTAAATTCCTTTTCTAAGCTGCCTGGTTTGTGGTACTGTGTGCCGGCCACCCAGGACACTAACAGTTTCTAAGTGGATTTATGAGGCAGTTTAAAAACCAGTTTGCAGTGCAGTTTGGAGGGCCGTGAGGAGGGCGACTGCTTGGGAGCATCTCTATCACAGAGGGACAGAGAGTCAGACAGCATTTACCTTGGAAGATGATTTTGGTTCGGTCCAAGGGAGCTACTGCTGTTTTGGCAAGAGCACCAGCCAGGGCCCCAGACAAGAGGGAGCTGAGAATTTGTCTGTGATCCCTCTGCAAAAAACACATGAACACACGGTCTGTTGTCAGAGAGGGAGGGGAGAAGTCTGCTCCATTGGGGGTGGCACCAAGAGGATCACCTTTCCTCATCCCTTTATTACTCCCCTACCCTGGTCCAGGGCTGAGAGATGCACAGCAACTTGAGTGTTATAACCCTAATGGGCTCTGGGTGAACAGTGGTGGGTCGAGGGGTCACAGAGCCTTCACAGGATGACAGGGACCATCCATATGAGAGGTGATGCACTGTCTGGGCCATCCAGTGAGGGTCTGTGTTCATGGAGACAGACCACAATGGGACTGACTCCAAACCTAAGAATCACCCCTGACCCATCCTGCAAGCCTTGGTTCTGTCCACCTGTGTGTGCTGGACTTTTGCATTATAGTGTTTCAGTGCAAAGTCACGAGGGCCCTTGTAGTGGTGGTGGGGGGAACTGGTAGGGGGTGCTGGGCAAGAGGACCCTGCCTGTGTCAGTGTGTCCCCTTTCTACATCTTTTTGTCAGGACTTCAGGGACTGGTGTCTGTGGCTCTTCAGCCAAGGAGTGGGTGATGGCAATGGTGGTTGACCTGCATCAAGTGCTCCCACGGCCAACCTCAGGGCCAGGGCTTTCCCCTGTCTTCTGGAGGCTCTCCAAGTCCTCCTTGCACAGCCTTCCTTCCTTCCTTCCTTCCTTCCTTCCTTCCTTCCTTCCTTCCTTCCTTCCCTTATATGTCCATCTGAGTCCTGAGCAGTCTCATCAGGCTGAAATCTATATTCCTCCATCTGACCTTCACAAGCAACCACAGGGAGCACTCTGGAACATTCTGGACTGGAGGTGCCCCCATCTTTCCTCCATATGCAATGAACAAGAATGACAAGGGTCAGGTCGTTCAATGATCCCAGGGATCCATGAAGTCCCATACAGACCAGGTGCCCTGAGGGGCCTGGGGACATGCAGTGCAGTGTGAGGGTATATATGAGCCCCCCACTCTCCCTCGGGGCCACCAGTCTAGAGAGTGAGCAAGACATGAACTAAATCTTCTGACAAAGGTGCACAGTCGCCAGTCCAGGTGGCGGCCCCACAAGGAGGTTGGCTTTTGCCCAAAGAGACACGGAGAAACACCGAAGGTTGACAGGCCATTTTCACTATGACCCTCTGGGGACTCCTGCAGTAATCAAGATGGAGTGGCAGAGGCTGAGACAGGGAGGGTGCAACCAGGGAGGCAGTGATGGCATTTGGGGAGGTAAAACTGGCAGCCTGGGTCTAAGTAGATATAATGGGGCTCAGGGCAACCCCTCACCAAGTCTGCTCAGCTCAGCAGTAGCCCAGGGGTGAAGGGCCGGGCCCTGAGTCTGTCCACACTTCTGGCCAGATTCTGGACTCTGTCTTGACAGTAGTGACCAGAGGATGGCCTCTTTGGTCTCCCATTCCTCATCTCTGACATGCTGAGTGCTGTCTCTTGGTCCAGGTCCCACCCCCAGATTCTCTCCTGTGTGTCTCAGGTGCTCCCAGGGGCTGTGTGCCCTGCAACCTGGCCCCCGCCCCTATATGGCTCCAGCTCCTTTCCCTTAATGCTCTGGCACCCCCTCCACCTGCCTAGCCCACCCCTCCCTAAAAGAACAAACTCTAGAGAAGTGTTTTTCCTCCAGTGTTTCTGAGGCAGAGCTTCACCAGAGGGTTCCATCTGCTCCTTGCTTCACACAGGCCCGCACTGGGGACCTCTGCCTTTTCTGGGTCACACAGCAAGGCTCTGGTCATCTGGTCCTGTTGGCGTTGAGAGGTAAGGATGTCAGATGCTGGAAGGTTCAGTGGTACTCCTAGCACCAGCTTCCTGCCTCATTCCTCTTTGTGAACCAATGAGCAATTGCTCACCCGCGCTGTGAGCCAAAGGAACACCCCAAAACAGCCCATGTGCCTGTTGGCACTGGAGGTGAAGCCAATATGTCCTTTGTGCTTCCTTCTGCAAGTTACTTCCTGTGCAATCTGTGGTTCTTACAACTCTAAGGCCAGCTCTGTGCTTCTTGAACACATGTCCTTAAACTCTGCCCTCAAGGTGGCTCCGGGATGCTCTATGAGTCCACTTCTGGCCTCAGCAGAGAAGGGGGCTGCTCCTGCAGCAGATGCTTCCAGTGGCTCTTACTGACCACAGTGGTTTATCCTTTGAGGACCTCAGCACAGATATCACCAAGTGGTCAATGTGTCCATGTCGACTGTATAGGGGGATCCTGCAAATGAAGTGCGAGGCAGACAGTCCAACAGAGAACGTGGGCCATCACAGATGAGCCACACAGCCGCGAGCACTGCGAGAGGACTTCTTAACCAAAGAAACAAGATTTACAAGGTGAGCTCCCACATCAGGCTGGCTAAGTGGACCAAGGCTGATGTCAGATGTGTGGCCAGCACAGAGGAAGATGGGCACTGGATATCCAGGCATGTGACGGGAACAGACAGGCCTTTTGCTGGGATTCAACTGGCCAGCAGAGAGGCTGAGTGTCCCTCAAGCTCTGCTGGGAAATTCACTAAACTGAGAGGGGCACACATACTTGCTGTAGGCTCACCCTTGCTGCCCCACATGGTGCAGTGATGGCCGCCCCACATACAGGCCCACAAACCAGTCCTCCCTCCTGCCTGGTGCTCCGCAGAGCCACCGAGAATTTAGAAAAGGTCTGGAGGGTTGGGAGGATTACTACCTCAGCCTTTGAGCTTGTGGACTTTGAGGCACCTGAGCCCTGCCCTGAGAGTAGGATGGGCCTGTGAGGGCCCTTCCTCACGAATGAGCCTGAGTTTGCTGATTCTTTTGTGTTCACAAATCTGAGAAAAGGGGCTCCAGGACACCTTCTGATATCCCAGCCAAATTTGGGTAAGGTTTTGGCTTCTTGCAAAGTGGTTGGGGGCGAGATTCACTTCACATATTGGGCAGCCAGCATCTTTTCCACCCACAGCCTCACACTGATGCAGCCCCTCACCAGTGTGTGTGTGTGGGGGTGATCTGTGGTGGGTGCACATGCACATGAGAGGGACCCATGAGAACACCCATGGGGAGGCCAGGTACTTGCCTTTGAAGAGACGGGCGAGGGCAGGACGGCCTCGGCATCCTCATGCAATCGCACCGTACCTTCCTTCACACCATTACCCATTCCAGGCTGCTGGGGACAGTGGAGGCTCGGTCCTGAGGAGCAAGAGGGGGCACGAGACCCGGTGAGAAAGGGCCTCCCCCATCTGCCTCGTGCCCCAGTCACTTGAAGCAAGAACTGTCAATGTGATTTTCCTAACCTGGTGTCTGTCTCTCTGCAAGGAAAGGACGCTGTACCAGCATCCAGATGCTATAATCCCCTCCACTGATGACTTAATTATTTACAAAAGGCTTTTTATCTGATCGTCACAAACAGGCCTCTGAGTCATCTGCCTTTTTAACCGATACCAACTGGGCAGATGGGCTCAGAAAAGTTAAGCCACCCCAGTGAGGTTACATAGCAGGAGGCAGGGGCATGGTAGGCTGTGAGGCAGAGAGGTGGGAGGGCCCCACCTGCCCAGAGCCAAATGCCCACTGGGCTCAAGACAGCTTGGACCCAAGCTTCTGCCCACGGAAACAATTTTAGAAAATTAATCTTTTCTTACTGTGTGGCTGCCTCCTCTTTGCAGCCAAGCTTATAGCAAAAGGCCCTAATACTTGAGGATTCCTTGCTGGAAACCCACTTATCCTCCAGATGGAAGTGCACACAAAGCTAAGCATACCACATAGGGGACCTCGAGGAAGAAGGGTGAAGGACAGGTGTCACCAAGATGCCACTGTGCACCGGTGTCCTTTGAGGTCTCAGTTCCCATGCTTTATTATTATCCAATAAATCGGGAGATTTGAGACCTTGCTCCCCAGTATATGTCATGAGTTTGGCTCAAATAAACTCTTATAAAAATTCTCTGCAGGTTTTGATGTTCTTATGTTGATACCTCTATGGGAGTAATGATGGAAAAGTGATAAAAAAATAATAAAATTATCCAATAAATCAATATACCTTCCTGTAAAATGATGCATGATGCAAAGGATGCAGATGTGCCCTGAGCAGGCGGTGGAAGCCCCTCCTGCCCTCTGGGTCCTCCCAAGCACTCCACATCAGTGCCAGTGTGGAAGGTTCTAGAAAGCACAAGTGGAAATCCATTCCATTGGCCCTCTGCCACTGTTTCCTACTCAAAACAGGCCTAGCTCTGGAAGAATGGCTGCTTCCAGGGCAGAGCAGGAAACATAGGGATGAGGCCAGGGTACCCTGAGGTAGAAACCAAGACCGAGGGGGTGTGATTATGGGAGCTGATTTGATTCAACGACCTCCCAGTAGCCAAACTGGAACATTCTGAGCAACAAAATCAATAAAGCAGTACTGTATTATAGTCCAAAGAATAAAATGTCCATGAGTCCACACTAGTATAAACTAATTGAATAAATAAATAAATGGGGGAGAAGGGACAAATCTCTCATAAGAATCCAAATAATTTGTGCAGATGCTCTGTCCTCAAAAAAGGGGAGCAGGACTTCCCAGCCTTAGGTGTGGGCTGTAAATAATGATTTCCTTCCACACGGTAAGGGAAAGGGGGGAGAGAGAAGCTTTACAAAGGAGAACATGAGAGACACCACCTAAGCCAGGGGATCAAGGTCAATATCACAGTGAAAAGTCACGTTGATGGCACGTGCTCTGGTCGCAGTGTGATGAGAAGGGCACTTTATCTCTGGGGTCCTCCTCTCCACACCCATCACCCCATTCCAACCATGAGAAAACACCACACAAATCCCAACTGGGGGCCTCCTACAAAACGCCTCACCACTTCTCAAAACCGTCAAGACCAGGTCTCAAAACTGCCAAGGTCATCAAATCAAGAAAGCCTAAGAAACTGTCTCAGCCCAGAGGAGCCTACAGTACACTAAGGAGACATGATAACTAAATATTGTACGGGATCCTGGGACAGAATAAGTACATTAGGGGAAAAAGAGGAAATCTGAGTAAATTATGGACTTTAGTTAATAATAATGTATCAGGCCCGGCTGGGTGTGGCTCAGCAGTTGAGCTTCGACCTAGGATCCAGGCGATCGGGGTTCCCAGTCAGGGCACATGCCCGGGTTGCAGGCTCGATCCCCAGTCGGGGGGTGCAGGAGGCAGCCAGTCAATGACTCTCTCATCATTGATATTTCTATCTCTCTCTCCCTCTCTCTGAAATCAATAAAGATATATTTAAATAATAATAATAATAATAATGTATCAGGCCCTAGCAGGTTTGGCTCCATGGTTAGAGTGTCGGCCCACAGACTGAAGGGTCCTGGGTTCAATTCCAGTCAAGTGCACATACCTTGGTTGCAGGCTCAATTCCCAGCCCCGGCTGGCACGCGAGCGGGAGGCAACCAATCGATGTCCCTCCCTCTCTCTCTTTCTCCCTTCCACTCTTTGTGAAAAGCAATGGAAAAAATATCCTCAGGTGAGGATTAAAAATAATAATAATAATAATAATAATAATAATAATAATGTATCAGTACTTTGAAAAAAACAAAAACCACAAAACCCACAAATAGAACAGCTTTAAAATGAAGCCAGAGCTGCCATCTCAGAGGAATTGTCTTGCGTGTCTTATGCCTCAAACCTTCAGAATGTTAAAATAGCAAAATTACCCTTGGACTGGGTCTCAAGAACATTGTGTCCCAAACAACTGTTTGCAAGGATAATAAGAAAGCCAAATGGACTAAAAATTAAAAACATTGTTTAGAATTAGTGTCACTATGCGAGCTTATCTGAACCAATAGAAATGCCTTCTTTCTATTGATATAATTGTTCCCCTCCCTTTTACCATAAGTACCCATTGCCTTGTCTCCTAATTGGAACACTCTTTGGGTTTCTGCCTGAATCGGTCCTTCCCTAATAGCTGTTCCTTTTGATCTCAAATAAATGCTTGTTGCCTCTCACTTTGGCCTTTATTTTTAGGTTAAGAATTTGTTCATTAGTTGTGACAAATGTACCATAATAATGTTAGATGTTAAAATGGAAGAAACTGGGTGTGTGGAATTTATGGGTTGTGTTACCTTGTAATTTTTCTGTAAATCTGAAACTGTTCACAAGCATAAACCAGGCCTTAGCAGTGTTCTCAAGCCAGTTGCTGGGGTGTCAGCCTGTGGGATGCTTTACTGAGACTGCTTTACCACCTCTAGCACCTCCAGCTGTGGCTCACACCACCCTAACACTGTGGATCCTGGGGACTGTCCTTGCATCTGGGAGTGGATGGTGCTGTATCTTGTGAGCATGTTGAATGTGAACACATTCTGTGGAAACTTCTTGAGAAAGGATCCAGCCCTCTGCACACCTGCAGTGGGTGAGGTGCCTGTGGTTGGGTTCCCTCTCCTACCTCCTGCCCCAAGTTCCCCAGATCTCAGTTTTGTAATGTTTCCCCAGGCAGGCAGGTGCTCATGGGCTCAGACCCAGGGCTGCTCATGGAGCCCACTGGACCTCATGAGGACCTGCCATGATATCTCAATATAGACGGCTCGGAGAGGGGCCTCAGTGTGATAGAAATAGTTAGAAACAAAATCACCACACAACCTGGTGCAGACCTATAAGAGCATGTACTGCAGGTGACAGAGCATTGAGGTAGGTCACAGGGAAGGTATCTACAGAGAGCTGACGCCCAAAAGACATGTCCACTCAGAACCTGTGAATGTTATTTGGAAAATGGTCTTTGCAGATGTAATTAAGGTAAGAATCTTGAGATGAGATCATTCTGGATTTAGCATGGGTACTAAATTCAAGGACAAGTGATCTGTTAAAAGACAGAAGGAAAAGGAGACACGGACAGGAAGAAGGCCTGTGAAGACAGAGGTAGAGACTGGAGTGGTACCCTCCCTAGCTGAGGAACTCCTGGGGCCACCAGAAGCTGGAAGAGACAATATTACAATTTTACTGACTATAGTCCCTCCCTCCCCTAGAGCCTCTGGAGGGAGTAGGCCACACACACCTTAATTTTGGACTTCTGACCTCCAAAACTATGTGGATTAATTTCTGAACCTTGTCTTAAGCCATGCAGTTTTGTGATTTGTTATGGCAGCCACTGAAAACTAAGCCAGGGCCCTTTTTAGGGGAGAATCTGGGGGGTGCCAGAGTCCCCACCACCCCAGCAGAGCAGGTAGTCTCAGTCTGACAGCTACTTCCATCATGGCTCCTGCACCCCAGGGCAGCTCCCCAGGATTGCAGGATGAAGAGGAGAACGTACTTGCCTTGGGGGGCAGGGGTTGTCTCAAGATTTTGTCCCTCAGGCCAAGTCTAATTTCTCTAAGAAATAAAGACCTCTTTGCTATTTCAAATCAGTTAAAAAACAAAACAAAAAAACACACAACTCGAGACAAAATAAGGCAAAGAAACAGCCAGATAACCAGAATGAAGTAACTTAAAAATGTGACAGGTGCCCGCCTGTTCTCATGATGGGAAGGCAGGTGTGATCCTCAGTGAGGGGCTGTTTGCATGTATGGGGCAATAATATCAACTGTGCAACAAGGTGGGGGGGGTGTAAGGAGAGGCTGAGGGTGGCACCTCTGCCTTGGAATGTGTGCTGTGCCCCCAACACATGAACACAAAGACTTGTTGGCCAGTAAGTCCACAGCCAGCTGCTGGTCCCAGTGAAGGGGAGGAGGGGAACAGGGGGAATATGTGCCTTGTGTCCCCATGGGAGAGTACCACCTAGCTTTTTACTGATGGGTGAACCTACCTGGATCCAGGTGGGGTGCTTCCCAGATGAGAAGACTGGAAGGAAAACAGGTGTTTATAGTGTGCTGTTGCAGCAGGGGATGAGGTAGGAGGGGACCAGACTTTTTCCCCCCAATTACAGATGACATACAGTATTATATTAGCTTCACATGTAACAACAAAGTGATTAGACATTTATATGACTTATGAAGTGATCTCCCTGATAAGTCTAGCATCCATCTGACACCATACATAGTTATTACACTATTGACTATAGTCTCTATGCTGTAGTTTTCATCCCTGTGACTTTTTAGTTTTATTTATTTTTTTACAATGTAGAATTTTTATATTTAGAATTAGCCAGCTAGAACCAGTTTAGATGATCCCAATTTTGTTGGCAACATCACAGCATCATAGTCAGGAGCCAGTCAAACATATGCCTTCTTCTCTCCATCAGGCCTGATCAGGGTGTTGACCTTGGCCATGTCAGTGTCACAGAGCTTCTTCACAGCCTGTTTGATCTGGTGCTCATTGGCCTTGACATGCACAATGAACACAAGTGTATTGTTGTCTTCTGTCTTCTTCATGGCTGACTTGGTAGTCGGGGAGAATTTGATGATGGCATAGTGGTCAAGCTTGTTTCTCCTGGGTACGATCTTCCAAGGATATTTAGGCTGCCTTCGAAGTCTCAGTGTCTTCAGCCCCACATCTATGCTCAAGAGCATGGGCTCCTTGGGCATCACATGGAGCTCGTCATCAGTTAAATAGTGACCATCAGCCCACGTGGCCCAAAATGAGGCCTGGAGCATGGTGGGGGGCTTCAGCTGGCACAAGCAATCCATGTGCCAGAGCCACCTGCTCCCATTCTGACTGCTTTCAGTCTCTGCAGCACCTACTACCCTCCCCCTCTCCGGAGCAACAGGCCAGGGTTCTGCACCAAGGTAGGCAACCGAGAGAGGAGGTTTCTTAATGTTCTTTTGTTTCTATTGGACCTTGTTTTTTCCCTTGTCACTAGTAATACCAAATTTCTTTTTTTTTAAAATTTTTTTCATATTTTTATTAGCTGAACAGTTATTTCTTCTAAGAAATCTTTTAAACTAAAACCTACACTAAGAAATACATTTTACATCATACATTCACTTATACTCACATACACTTATGCATGCATGCCCTAAAGAAAAAAGTTCAGGAAGTAAAAGATTGCCTTTTTAAAGAGCCACTTGCTCTGCCATCTCCTGTCTCCTCTTCCCTATTTAATTTCAAGAAAGCTGATCACAACCAACTAAATTTATTTCATAAATAATGGGACTCAACCAG